TGTTCAGAGTACTGCTCTCTGCCAGACAAAGTCTGACAGTTGGATACAAGTTGCAGTGCAAATTTAGGACGTTCAAAAATGCTTCTAGCGATCTAAAAAAATTTTGAATTCTCATCTTGAAATAAACCTGGGATAATTATCATAATTTAGAAAAATTGGTTTTTAAAGATTTCTCACCTTTTTATAATCAAAACTAATGCCCGCTCCGCCACTTCGTTCAACTTTTTGTAAGCTGCCATAACCAGCAAAAATATCTCCATCTTTCCTTAAAAACTGAAAGTAACAACCATAAAGTGCGGTTTAACCTGACAAAAAAAACCTTTTTCAAAATAAAGAAGCACATCTGTGAAACCGTTTGAAACGAAACAATTTACTGACCTGTATGTCACTGTCAAGTTGAAGTAATCATCAGGAATTTTATATTTTGTTGTGCCATTAATTTTTTCCCACAACGATTTACCTGTATAATGAGGAGATTCCAACAAAAGAAATACGTAAAATTGTTTAGGTGACCTGCGTAATGGCAGATCTGATGTATTTAAGTCTCGAATATGAAAAACAATTGCATCAGCGTCTGAGGAGTACCTGAAATTTGTGACGAAGCAACCGTCAACGTATATCACACTTTTTGATTTTGCTAAAAATTGTATTTTAAAAATAATTGCGTAAATTGTAAAAATATTGCTCCACTAACTTTCTGTTCTCTGTTAAAAAACAGCTGTAAGTACAGGTGTTACTGCCGCTAAAGAATGGTATTAAGCTGTTGTTAAAAAACCTTGTCCATAACAGGATCACTGGAATTCTCTGAAAAACGTTGTTGTCACTTGAATGCATCAGCATAAAACTTACTCAACCTAAAAGCTGCACCATAAAGTTTCGTACGTTTGGTGAACAGCGAGTGTAACGTTTTATTTCCAAAATATGGTTAGCATGCTGCCGTCAAATACCCCAACAGTTTAAAGCAGATTTACAGTAGACTACTGGAATTAAATCCTTTAGAGGTTACTGAATTTTTGAGTGAGAATGGTAATACTGAATACTATTGGCATTTAAATTCTCTTTTTTTGCTATTTGCCAGAAACAGCTCTTTCCGTATAGCGTCAGCCGTATTTGTCCGGAAACCATTACTGTTCAAGCAAAATTGATTATGGGTAGGCTCATTTATATATTTATACATATGTACCTATTTCACCTTTATGTGTTTTTTACAGCATGTAAAAAATGTAATGTAATATTATTACGACTTATCTAATAACTGAAATAGTCAGAGTGTGCTGAATAAAAAATTTGGTTAGAATTGAATGGAAAAGGAAGACTACGTCATGACAGATATAAGGATTATTTGACGACAAAATCTGATACAGAGTAAACGACAGTGTAAGACTAAGGGCGGGGTATCTAACAAAACACGATTAAAAAGTCGACCAAAGTCGTGGTTTTTTGTTAGACTTTAAAATACTTGCATGTTGTTTGTGAAGCTTATAAAATTTGCTTTTTATTACTATCATTATCAGAAAGCGGTATAAAAACGCAAACGATCTAAAATCTAAATTTCACTTACATTTGTAGAAAATTGTGGTATAATATTAAAGAAT